AAGCAATGAGACACAAGATAAAGTTTGCGCAGAGTTGACTACCTATAAGAAAGCTGATGGTCTCTTTGGGATGGCTTTGGCCATTAGACAAAGAACTACAAGGGCACCAGGTGATCTATATTTTATACTTAAGTAATTTTAGTTAGTTTTTTATATTTTAAATATTCTTTCTAATTAATTAGTTATAATCAACAGCTGATTGGTGGAGTGCATATGGTTCTGAAACGCCAAATTTGCAAACATTCGCCATCAAAATTCTTAGTCTAACTTGTAGCTCATCTGGATGTGAGCGGAATTGGAGTGTGTTTGAACATGTGAGTACCTATTTTTAACTATAGTGAATATGAATACCATTAAATTTATTAATACCTAGATAAAAATTTGAATATTTTTATTTGGTTTGAATTTTTGCAGATTCACACCAAAAAGAGAAATAGGTTAGCTCAAAAACGTCTGAATGATTTGGTATTTGTTAAGTATAATAGAGCATTGAGACGTCGATACAATTCCCGTGACACTATTGATCCCATTACTTTGACGGATATTGATGAAAGTAACGAGTGGTTGGTTGGGAGGATGGAGGAGAAACTTGTCTTTGAGGATGATACTTTGACATGGGATGATGTTGCTAGAGCTGCCGGAGTTGAGGACAGTAGTCAAAGAACTAGATCAACAAGGGCAATAGAAAGGGGTTGTTCAACTTCAAAATCAGCAGCTAGACCTAGATTGCAACTTATTGATGAGGAAGAGTCAATTTCAGATGGGGGAGAGGAAGAAGATGCAGAGGGATATGCTGAAGCCAATGATAATGAAGAAGAAGTTCATTTGCTTGATGTTGAAGATGATTTTTAGAACTTTTGGATTGGTGGATTGTATTTGTCTTTGTTGGATATTTTCTTTTGTTTATGGATATTTAGTATTTGGGATGATAACTGTATGATGGTTCTTGAAAATATTTATATTTTTGTCTATACCATTTATTTTAAAAAAATATCATTTCTGGTCGCCTCGCTTCGATGAAGCCCTCGCCTCGCCTCGTCTCGTCGCCTCGCGCTTAGGCATTAGGTGACCTTGTCGCCTCGGTTCGCTTTTCGCCTTAAAAAACACTGCTACATAACTAATAAGGAAAGAATTAAACAAACTAAAATTTAAGATGGTAAAACCAAAACAGTTATCCAGGACATGGGCATTTCATGTTCTACCACATAAACACAATTTCATGACTTCCACTTGTGGTGATTGTCTGGATATGAATGTAGATGCAACTGTCTCCCCTTGTAAACTTACGTTTCATCTTTTTTCTATAAGTGGTATCCGTTTCTTCTTATTGGGTTTCCCCGTGTATTCTTCTTTCTTTCAACCCCACCCCCCCCACAACCCAACCCAACCCAACCCAAATAAAGGGACATATTTGATAACAAAGCTTGCCAAGTTGAAATTATAAAATCAAAAAATCAAGGAAAGTTGATTATATGATTGTTTCAAGCCTCCAGGCAATCTGAGAAGGGCAAAGGTGCTAATGTGAACGATCAAACTTCAAACTTTTTGTTCTCATCTAAAAGAAAGTTAATCATATTTATGTGACAAGAAAACAAATTTGTTGAGAAAAGGGAATAAGGATATACAAGGAAAACAAAGGAAGATATTTATCACATAAAATAAAAATAAAAATAAAAATAAAAATAAAATAAAAAAAAAAAGGAAAAATGAAGAAAGAAGCAGAATGTGCAAACAAAAAGGGAGAAATCTCAAAGTGAAACAAAAAAGAAAGAACAATACAAAAGAATCCTACACAAATAGAGAGAAGTACAGAAGAGCAGAATGCTCAATGATGAACTTCCAAAGATGTCGTGCACAAGTGGAAGACATCATACTAAAAGAGTTTGTAGGTACATGAGTCCAACATCACCACGACATCATCACATCTGTATTTCCTGCAAACGTGGTGCTGTGTATCAGCCTTGTGAGGTGGCATGCAGACCAATGAAGCAACTATATATATTCCTCTACAGGGATCGAGACACATCAATTCCAATTGGCACACACAGTGGCAAAGCTTGAGACAGACGCCACTCGAACAACTCATAGCATCCATCGGCTTAGTTGAGGTTTCCTTGCTCAAGCACAGTCCTCCCTCATGGTCGACACAATTAGGGTACCCTTGCTTCCCACCTTGAAAATTGTGCACTCACCCTTAGTTGAGTGCCTTATCTCTATGTCCACTCAATTTGCTTAGCTCACCAAAACGGCCCCACCAAGCAGCATCCCAGTCATAGAAAAAAAGGCTCTAATGACAACTACATAGGCTAGGAGCATGGGCCTAGATACTCTAGCTAGGGGATACCAAAGGACTTGTGACTTCGAGATTTGAAGTCAAGGTATCATCAAGGTTGCTCAATCCACCCCATTTGAGGTAAAGAAAGGGAAAATGGTAAGAAGACAAGACCTTTGATTATTGCGCTACAACTTGATAGTTGTACTCTATCTAACATTGTGATCGATGAAGCACCAACACCTCTCCGGAGGTAACGCACAGGTGTCCGCCACGTGTCAGACACGAACATGCTCCGAACACGTGTTGAACATGCTGGGACCAGTGTTATTAAAGGCACGCCTAGGCCCAAGTCCTATCTAGACCCAAAGTTTGCGCTTGTAGTGTTCTAAGCCAGGCGACTTCGATTAAGCACGCCTAGGTGTCCGCCTAGGCCCAAGTCCCATCCAGGCCCAAGATTTGCGCTTTGTAGTGTTCCAGATCAGGCAACTTCAATAAGGTGCCTGACTGATCCAAAGCACATTAAGGCCCAAGGCTTGTGTCTTGATGGCTTTTTTTATTGTTACTTTCATTGATTTTGTTTAAAATTTGACATTGATTTAATATGGTAAAACTACAAAAGATCTCTACTCTTATTACAGATGCTAATACATTGAGCATTCAATCCCAAATCAATGATAGAAAAAAAATTAGTCCTAATTCATAATCTCCGAAGAAAACTAAATGTTTAACATTTCGTTTTGTTTATGTTGAATCCTAAATTATTTACTTATATTAAATTATTTTCTTTTTTCCGTACAAGATGTGCCTTAGTTCAGTGAAGCTTGCGCCTCAAGCCTAGATCCCAGGAGACCGTGGCAGCTTAGTGCGCCTATCGCCTTTAATAACACTAGTCGGGGCACTTTGAACACGCTACGGACACATTAGGACACGCAAGGGACACATTGAGAACATGCTAGAGACACGTTAGGGACACGTTAAGTACTATTTTTTTTCAAAAAAAATTAAAATTTTTAATTTTTTTTTTTACTAAAATAACATACCTAAAGTTGATAAATTTGATAAAATTAAATATTTAGCATAAAATACATATTAAATATTTAAAAATATACATATAATAAAAATATAAAAATACATGTTTTGAACGTGTCCCCAACGCGCAGTGCCCTGCATTTTTTGAAAATTTACGTGTCTGCGTGTCCATGTCGTGTTCGTATTGTGTCACGTGTCTGTATCCGTACTTCTTAGATTGTGACTCTCACAATGCAACCTTTGAGGCTTAACATATCCAGGTCGTGTCCGTGTCTGTGTCCATGTCGTGTCACGAATCAGTGTCCGTGCTTCTTAGATTGTAACTTTCACAATGCAGCCTATGGGGCTTAACATATCCACTCTCCCAACATTCTATGATACAATTCCCAAGATCTGACTATCAAACCAAAGGCTTAACATCACCTGTTCCTAAAATGCACTCAATACACTTGAGGCACCATGCATTCAGCTATAGGAGCCACAAACAAGGTAATCCTACAACAACATCAAAGGAACTCCCAAACACTTCAATTGTGTCAAAATTTTACCTCATACAGTACTTGTCTACTTTTATTCTGACTGCCAAAAGCAAGTTTCATCTACTGATGCAAGATTTCAATAAACCAATGAATTGTTTAGAACTATGTTACATGGACTCTTCAAATTAAATCAAATACCCGTGTCGGACACCCGACACTTGGACAAGGGTATGGGATATGTGTCGGATACTTTTCAACGGATACTTCTTATATAATTGTATATAACACTATTATTATATGTATATATTGTTATATAATTGCTATAAATGTCATTTTGACACTATAAGTTAAATATAATACCATTTTATCTCACATATTAGATTAAAAATATAAAAATATGACATTTTTTTGCCGAGTCCGCATCTCCTTAAATTTATGATTCGATGAGTCCGACCTCTAGATACATACCCACACCCGACACCCGTACCCGAGTCCATGTAACATAGGTTTAGAATGCAAGATCATCTACAAACTTATAAAGAGCCAAGAACCTGGGCCTATAAATATATATTGATAAAGGAAGCACACTATATTGAGTTGTTTGTGAGGCAGGAAAAAAATGACTTGGTGTACATGGGATCAATAGTTCACGATTGGGCTCTAGTACACAATTTTTGCAGTTTTATATGAATTTGCTGAGAAAGCACATGAAGACTTTACTAGTGCAGAGGGGATGAAGATATAGGAACCCAAGAATCTGCGTAACTTGAGCTAATAAAGGATGTTATTAATCTACAAAAACATTCAGTAAATAATTTCAAACAAGAAAATAGCTCAAGGCTCAATTTATTCATGTTTCTAAAGTATGAACTCTACAAAATCTGTCTCATTCAATAGATGCCTTGCCACTCTTGATGAGAAACATTAATGCAGTCACCCATTGAAGTGAACAATTTTCCTGTTTCATCATCTTAGTTCCTATGCTTAGGTCACAAACAAGTAGGATCAAGGACATTCTAAAGGAAATAGAAACAGATAGATAAATATAGATCAAAGGCATGCTAAAGGAGATAGAAACAGAGAGATAGATAAATAAAGAAACAATTCAATTCCAAAACTATTACCAAAGGCAGTATACTATATTAGTATATTGAAGGAAACAAAATCAAATTAGAAGAAGCAGCAAAAAAAGAGTACTTGAGCCATCCCAGACATACAAATCTCAGGAATATCCCTTGGGAAGCTTTTGAATTGCAGCATACATTTTCCGTCTCGAACCGACTGCATTTATTCCCATATCTTTGAGGTCCTCCAATGTCAACATAGGCAAAACTTCATCATCCACCTCATGAATCTCGAAAACCGGCGCATACCGGCCCAATCCCAATCCAATGAGCCAATTCCTCACCCCATCATCAAGAGACCAATTCCTTCCCCTCTCACTTCCTCCACTCCCAAAATTCCCATCTCTACTCGTCCCGCATTTCCGATCCCTCGAATCGGATTCCGGAATTCCCTCATCCTGTTCCCGATCCCTACTCTCCGAAACCCTAGCCCTACCCGTCCTCCGATTCCAGAAATCGAGCCCAACATTGTCAATCGAATGAATCGGACTCTGTTCTTTAAACGGACTCTCCGAACCTTCTTCAGCTTCGAAATCCCTAAACTCCTCTTCTCTACTGTCTCCTTCAGCACCGTTATCGATCTTCGTTGACAGAGTCCAATTCGTCCTCACTCTCTTCGCTTGCGGTCTCTTCGATTTCTGCTTTCGGTACCCGAAATCGAGATTGTCCTCGGTCTGTTTTAGGGTTTCGACTCCGCCATTAACGAGGTTGGTCAAAGGTCGAGTTTTTGAGGATTTGGCAGCTAAATTAGGTTCTTTGTGAAACCTCCAGTGCTTCGGTCGACCCGGTTGATCGCCGATCTCGCCTAGTCGGACACTTGGTCGGCGCTGCCGCTTTGGGGCTAAACTTGGCCCGAGGCTGTGGTTGTTATTGGTGGTGGTGGTGATGGTGATCGCGGCCGCAGCTGGTACTATTGCGGCGGCGGCGGCGGTGGTGGCGGTTGAAGGCGGTGGAATTGTGGCGGCGTTGATTGGGCTTTCCGGTGGGTCCGATTCTGCCATTACAATTACAAGAGTCAAGTGGAGTGATGATGAGGAAGTGAAGTCGGCGTAAGAGATAAGAACGAAATGGGCTCAGATTGGGACAGAATCTAGTAGTTTTGCCTTTTCTAGAGATTGTGGTCTGTTCAGTTTTCCACCGTCCGATCGAATAGCAGTTTTCGACGGCTCGCTTGAGATTTTAGGAACTGGGCTTTTTGGATCACTTTTATAGGCTTCGCTTCAGATATAATTCTACTATTCTGGTTAAATGGGCTCATTCTGATTTTCGGTTCTTAATGATTTGTTTGGTTGAGAGATTTGAAGAGATATTTAAAAAGAAAAATAAAAAAGATAAGTGTAATATGAAAAAAATATATTTACATTTCAGATAGTTTCACATACCTTTTTTCCCTTTCTCTTTTCAAATCCTTCCCCAAATCTCCCAACCAAACACAGCATAAATAAGCTCAGTTCCGTCTACTTTTATTTAGGGAACGTTGCACGTGCCACACATTTTTATTTTTTATTTTTTTTATTTAAGATAAAAAAATTAGATAGATCGGAAATTAGGGTACCCGAACCTTGTATTTTGAGTATATTACAGAAGACTCTTATAATTTGAATAACACTTTAGAAAATGGATGAAGTGGAATGCTGGCAATGGTGCTTTGGTAGATATTTGGAAAGATTGGTAGTGTGGGGATAAATCCTTTGAGGATGACATGCCCAATCCACCCTGATACATCCATACATCTGTTGCAAGCCTTGGTTCAGTGGTTGAGTATTTGAATGATCAAGGAGGATGGGATAAGGCAAAAATCAGTGTGATGCTACCTCCTAGAATTGCCACTGTTGTCCTGAACACTCAACCTCCTGTTAACTCTCTCTTGGATAGTCCTAATTAGAGAGGAACTCAATGTGGTGAATTCTCTGTGGCCTTTGCCTATGATCTAATCATTGGTCCTCAAAAGGGTTAGGCAAATTGGGGTTGAATTTGGAAATTGAGGCTACCACAGAAACTTAAAAGTTTTATGTGGCTAGTCTTACATGGAAAATTGTTAACTAACCAAATGAGGATGAAAAAGGGATTATGCCTTAATCCCATCTGTCCTCATTGCTGTGGGATGGAAGATATGCAACATCTATTTAAAGGCTGTTGCAAAGCTAAAGAAGTATGGTGGCTTTGTGTGGTAGAAACCGGTATATAGATATGACCAAGCAAACTTGGCAAGTGTGGCTTCTTTCAAACTTCAAAAATAAAAGTCACTTTAATGACCATGCCATTTGGTCCTCTGTGTTCATTGTGACATTATGGAAAATCTGAAAAAATAGGAACTCTTTTGTTTTTGATAATATCTCTCTTAACTGTAATGACAGTCTAAAATTCATTCATGATTATTCAAGAGATATTGACTGCGCTTTTAAAGCTTCTATTATTAATCCAAGACCTGCATTTAAACTGATTCATTGGGTATTACCTCCTGTAGGCAAACTCAAACTTAATGTGGATGGCAGTAGAAGACTGGCAGGTGGATGAGGATTTTGTGGACTCTTCAAAGATGAAACAGGCAACTGGGTTTGTGGTTACTATGGTAAGATGGACAGTGGCACCAGTTTGGAGACAGAGCTGTGGGCTTTTTACAAGGGACTAATAGTGATACTACAGAAAGGGATGCATGGAGTAGTCATCGAAACTATTGCACATCAAGTGGTGCAACTGATGGAAGAAGATGCAGCAGATAAATTTCCATTTAAAGGGTTGCTAAAAGATGCCAAGATCATCTTCAAGGGTTGTGAATGCACCATACAACATGTATTCAAGGAAGGATACCTATGCGTCGATGTTTTGGCTAAACTTTGAGCTAAGCAACCTGAAGATATTCTGGTGGAGAATGATCCACCAGCCAAGATCCAAAGCTACCTGGTAGCTGATATGATAGGGCTCTCTAGAGAAAGAGCCTAGCTTTGTTTACTTTCTGATGTACCCCCCAAAAAAAAAAACACATAATATATAATAAATATTTTATTTTATTTTATTTATTTAAATTTTACATATATTACATGTGCGAATCGTTAGTTCTATATAATATGTACAGCCTATTTGTTTTCATTTATTTTTAACTTGTATTGTTTAAATTTTGAAAACACATACTTTAAAAATTGTATTTTAAAAAATTGGAGTATTTGGTTTCACTTGATTTTTGCTTTAAAAACCTAAAATAAATTAAACATACTTATTTATTTATTTTTTAAAAAAAGTTTTAGATGGAGGGCCTGAGCTGAGGATTATAATTTAAAATATAAAATTAAATATAAACGTAAGTTGATGAAAGAATTAATAATATCCGATCAACTTATTTTTTGTAAGTTTATTTTACTCGATGTACTATAAAATATAAAATGTAAATGATTTAGATCATCAAAATAAATTTTAAAATAAACCCATATAAATGCACAACAGTCACTCAATTTGCATTTAAATTTATCTTATTTTAATTATGATGGACCCACAACTTAGACATATTTTTATTTATATTTCTTTACTCATTTGGTTAAAGATGTCCAAAAACTGAGTTCTTTTCTAAAAATAAATATTCAGTACAATTGTAATATTATTTGACTATTTTATGATGAAAAAAGTAGTGTTTTTTCAATGAAGTATGATTTTTTTTTTTAATAATTAAATAGATAGTTATGAGAAAAAAAGGTAATTAATTAATGTATAAGATGTGACATTTTATCTTATTAATTATTTTATATATATTTTTATTTTTATTGACTATTTTAACCAAAATGAAAAATTTCAAACACCAATAACAAAAATGGTTGGAACCCCCAAAGTTCGGGACCCCGTGACCCTCAAAATGATGTGGATCAATTATGTGTTTTTATTTTTTGTTTTGTTTTGTTTTTTTGTTTTTTTGTTTTTTGTTTTTTGTTTTTTTTTTTTTTTTGCCTTTCCTTCCTAGATCAATTACAAATGAATGGGGGTTATGAATATTATATTTTTTTTGAAGGTATGTAACATTGTTGATAGAATAAATCTTTCAAACTGGGGCTTGCCAACAGGTACGATCCCTTTTAGCAAGAAACCGAGATATAACAATTTTCAGGCATGGGACTAATTCTGGAGTACAATGCAATTTTACCCTTTTCTAGCCATAATCCAATCTCATAATGTTATTGATTGATGACATTGACATGTGTATTGGCTGACTGTTCGTAATACATTACACCTAATTAGGATTTAGGAAATTATCACTTCACTTCTATATTATTTTTGTACGGGGAAGAAATAATTCTCCTCGTATAATTCTGTTGACTAAGTCCACGCTCCTCCGTACAACGTCGCTTTGTCACCTAAAAACACAAACGTGAGCTAGCCGGCGGGTGTATGCCGGAAACCTCTCCGATGCCGAAGTCAGAAAACTTGACAAATAGACAAAGCTCAATGTATTCAGGAAGCAAAATTGTATGTTGTGTTATGTGTTACCTCCTCCAAGGTGATGCTTGTGAGCTTTTATAGGTTTCGATTGGCACAATTCTAGTAGGACTTTTATTTCTCCATGCAGAGTCCTCCTAGGATTCATATTCCTAAAGGATAATGCTTATCCTTTTACACCCCCCACTGCTTAAACCAAGTGGGATGGTTTTTACTATGCCCGAACTACCACATGACCGAAATAATACTGGCTATGCCGAGCCATAGAGTAGGCCGAACTATCCTTAGCTCGGTTCTTCATCCACTCCTTATCTCGGTTCCCTCTCGTTCAACCATGGTGTGTTTAAACTGAACTACCGAGTAGCAAGGTTTTGACCGTTCTAACCATACTACGTAGTGACCGGACTAACTCTGAGACCGGCCTAACTCCAAGTTGCCTCCGGACCGGAGTAGCTTTACATCATCTTGGACCGAAGTAACTTTATCTCTTGGATAGAAAAAGGACATAAAAGAAAAATGGTGCAGATAATCATATTTCTTATCTTATTTTCTCACTCCAAAATGCAAGTAATTGAATCTCATATACATTTATGAATGTGACCTCATTGATTTGTGTCTAGGAATAAGAGAATAAGATAAGAAATTAGATTATGTATAGCATTGGTCAACATACACTATAACAAATTACAGTTGACAAAAATTTAAAAATGTTGTTAATAAATGTAGAGACAAAGATCAAATATATTAATTAAATTAACAAACTCTCTCTTTCATCGATGGTTAGCAAAGGAAGTCTAGGTGGATGGATCCCAGTGGTGAAGCAAAGAGGAAGGCAAGTAAATCATAACTCGTGGTCTAAAGGTCGAAGAGCAAGCTTGTTTACACTTTTTGTGGACAACTTGCCTGAATCCATGGCACCAAGGAACCTGTATGATTTGTTCACCAAGTTTGGCGTGGTCAAGGACGTCTTCATGCCACAAAAAATGAGGAAAGCAACAAACTCACGATTTGGGTTCAGACGTTATGACTGCTCTATTGCAGCTAATGTCGCAGAACTAAAAGTAAATGGCTTGTGGATAGATGACAAATCTCTGTTATTCAAAATTGTAGCGTATAATAAACACACGAAAGCAAGGCAGTGGTTGAAACCCCCAACAACCAGACAAACAGTGGCAAGGAACACATCTGCTATGGTAACTAGCAATATTTGGAACCATGGCATTGATGGAAGATCGTTCGCAGAAGTTATCAAAGGAGATCAACCTAGATCTACATTGAAGACAACTATCAGAGTAGAATAGAAGAGATAGGCAATGGTTGGCTTTATGAGAGCTTGATTATGAGACTCATATTAGATCATACTATTTTATAGGTGAAAAATGAACTCATCAAAAAAGGAGAGCAAAATGTACTGGTAAGAGAATGACGAGGACGAGATGTATTTCTCTCATTCCTTTCTAAAGAAGACTTGATAAGTAAAAAGTCTATGTTTGTGGACTGGTTTCATGACTGGTGTGAGTACATCACAGTGTAGAGTCCTCGTATGCATCTTCAGCAAGAGAGACATGTTTAGATCAGCTGTTACGAGGTACCCCCTAACCTATGGAACTCAAATACCTTCAGGAAGATAGGAAGACTATAGGGGGAGATAGTATTCTTAGATGGTGATATCGGTACACCTAAATCATTTTGATGTGGCAGATTTAGAATAGTTACAAATGTTATGGATCCGAT